TGCTGCGTTGTCTCCTCAAGGGTGCTGTACTTGTCGGTGGACTGGAAATGCCTTCTCTGCTCTTCGTGGGCTCAGGCGGATTCTTGACAAACTTCTGCAAGTCAACCCTGTGTTTGTTTGCCCGCTTTGGTTCAGATGACTTGCTGTCCTGCGCTTCGAAAGTCAACTTACGCTTCGGGGTGACTGTGGCTTCATGTTGTGGTACATTTTCATGAAGTTCTTTCTTTGACTTCTTTCGTGTGAGCCTTTCCCCTGAACGAACATCACGGGATGAGCTACAATAGATCAGGCAAGGAATCTGGGGAAACATATGGAAAAACGGTGATATTAAACCAATATCGCATATCCTGGGTCCTGACGACTCACCAAAAAAATCACATGCCTCCCAGCAAGATATGGCCTGGTTTTTTGGCAGACTCGGTCTTGGTAGATGGTCCTTGGTCACATTGGTCATCATCACTGATTTCACCCAAGGTCAAAGTTCTTTGGGTCCTGGCGTTCAAAGGTTTAAGCTTGGATGGAAAAAATCATAAGCTTCAGTGGGAACAGAACTCTATATGCGTATATGCATGTTGCCAATATATGCATGCATGCATAATTACAATTATTATGATGATTTATGAATTTCTTATCGATATATATGTGGGCCCATGGGGTCCGGGTGTTTTTAAAACACATGCATGTTATTGACTATTCCTCGCTGGTTGGTTTTGAACCCCACCACCCCTGAGCTGGTCCTGATTCTGCGTTCTGACTCAGGAGTTTCAGTGACTTGACTGTCACTAGCTGCAGGGGTGCTGATTTGGGCACGCATGCGGCGTATCTTGGCATCCTTCAAGAATTTGTCCGCCATGGGGCAGGGCGTGGTCCCTAAATGGATGTTATCCCACAAATTGAAGGCAAACAATTATTTTTGATCAATGAATGTAATGATGTAACGTATATCTAAAAATCAAAAAATCACAAACTGGTACCTTGTTCATATAGGAATTCATAGGGCCTTCATCGTGAGAATTGCCTGTAAAATGCAGCGGAGGAAAACACTGATTCACTGTATTTCGACCCTTTAAATTTCTGAGTCATTTTTTGGGCATTTTTTGACCCCCCCGTTCTACGCCTAAAAACGGTCGTTCTACGGCAATTAATAGCCTTTCTACGTCAAAAAACATCCGTTCTACGGTTTGTCTACGGTTTGGTTTGGAGCTGAAATTTCCACCAAAAAAATCAAATATTGGAAAATTCCAATGCCTGGGTATTTAGTTTTAAGTCGAAGGGGCCATACCCACTGATTGAAGGGCTTCCCCAAAGAGGCCAGACATTGGCAAATTCCGCATATGAAAAGTCCATTGAAATCATATAAAATTGCCAATGTATCTATGGTTTGTCTATGGTTTGTCTATGGTTTGTCTATGATTTGTCTATGATTTTTGGAAATTTTCTATGGTTTACTATGATTTTGGGTGGTTTCGGATTTCCCTGGCCACACTGAATGCGTCACCTTTTCCGTGGTTTGTCTATGGTTTGTCTATGATTTGTCTATGATTTTTGGATTTTTTCTATGGTTTACTATGATTTTGGGTGTTTTCGGGTTTCCCTGGCCACACTGAATGCATCACCTGAAGGGCAGGGGATGCGTCACCTTTTCCCGGTCCGAAAAGCCAATTTGCGGCATCCCAGCTAGGCTCAAAAACCTAGAGAGATCTATAGACAAATACCGGAATATTAATTGATTGAATTGCTTGAATTGCAGCATACATCTGCAGCTATTGTTGTGCGGCAGGTATCTCAAACGAAACATCAAGCCACATTTGTGGACACCCCTAGAGTCCACCCTCAAAGATGGGTTTGTAACCACCTGTGGCAATTTCATTCCTCAAAAAGGTCCGGACTTCATGTAAGCCAGCGTGGCGCCATCCAAAGGGCGCCTTCATTGGCGCCTGAGCGAGGGCTAACCAACAAAGGTTGCCAACTCTTTTTGGGTCACTGTTTAATTTGAAAGTATTTTTTGGATCAAAAAGGTTATGGGTTGGAATTTACCGATTTATGGACGGAAGATTGTTGGACATAACTATAATCTTAAAGCTGAATCAACAATGTCAAGTAACGACCCATCCTGTAACCAGGACTGCTTGCATGGTCGAATCTTGAAAGCACCGGCCTGGTTGGCCTCAGGCTCTTGAAGTTCTGGGAACTTGTTGTCCTGGGCACCGCTGCTTGGCTTGACCATAGTGCTGGAAATTGATTGATTGGGAAAGCTGATTATATAGATCGATCGTCGATCGATATCTATTATATCATATTGATTCATGTATAGAATTGACTGCAATTCCTGTCACAGAATAATTCTTCTAGATAGTGACCCCTGCCCCCCAGAGCTCCTTCAAAAAGCGTTGGTGCTTGTTGCGAATAGCTTGCCCAAAGCGTTTTGGGTATGCTGCTGAACTTTTCAAGTGAGCTCCGCCTGACCTGGGAACACCATTAAATCACATTCTTTGAGGTGGGGCTAGGTATGAGGACAAACACCACTAGTGCAATATAGATCTTAAGCAAGGTACACTGACCGCTTTCCATTCCTTGTAGATACCTTTACCATCTCAACCTTTTTGGCAGATTTCTGAATCTTCTTTCTCAACAGCTTTGAGATTCTTCGCCGGAGCTTTGGTGCAAATGGCCTTGGCAGTGGGCCACTGGAGTCTAGGGAATACTGGATACAAACACAAGAATTACTTCCAGCTACAAATTAATAGATCCACCAAAGGAGAGCTTGTGAAAGATTGGCCAAGTTTGACTGCAAAAATCAGAGTCCAAAAATTAAGCAAGCAAACACATGTATGTGGATTCTTGAGATTATGCACGCGTATCTAGATGCGTGCTCACTACAAGCGCCCAAGGCCAGCACGCAGTTGACCAAACCTTTGTCGGCTTCATTGTTTTCGAGCCATAGTATCCCATGCTCCTTATTTAGGCTTTGCGGACAGGATGACAAATTTTACTTCTTGGAGCATTGACCCACCTAGTATATCAACACAAAAACTTTGAGTGGGCAAGCCGTATGCAACCAGGAAACAGACAAGTCTTCGCCCAAAAGATTCCCATTTTTTTCATGGCCAAGACAACGAACTTCATATATGGAAAATGATGCATTGTCGAACTCGAAGGCTGTTCCGTCAGTGTGAACAGGGATCTTGCTGCGCAAAGAAGGAGCATCAACATCCACCGTGAAGTCAACCTTGGGAATTGAGCTCAATGTTAAAAATTATTGATCAATCCAATCTTAAGAGAGGACGTCACGTTGACAGGTTGCTAGCTATAAAATGTTACTGAGTCAAATTAAGATTAGCAGCTTGTTGCTTGACCTGATATACTCCCGATCAGTATCTCCAAAAGGATTATCAGCACATCGTTTGGACGTAGCTGAATTAATCCAAACAAAGCTTGAACACGGTGGTCCTCCTACCACCATGGCATTGGGTTTTGATCGCAGTATGTACTGCACTGCCTGGCAAAGTCCCGGCCTAGGCCATAGCATGGAGATATCAGCGATTTAGCTATCTGGGTCTATCAGATGGAATCGGAAGATATTCAAAAAGTGTATATATCGAATCAATACCGATCATATTTTCTTTGACTCTTGCATTCAGCATGCATGGCCAGGATAATATAAACTTTGTTTTATTATGATTGTTTCAGTTCATTTCAATCACTGCTTTTTTCGGAAACAATTCAGCCCTAGCAATCGATATGTGAAAGCTGAGGGATGCTGAGGGCCAAGCAACGAGTTCAAATCATGCTTGAGCGGATTCTTCAGGATCTCGAAATATTTCCTCATATGAGGTCATGACAAAAGACTTAAATAGAATGCGTTCGAAGGGTGGGATAGGATCATGGAAAGAATCCTTAATTAACCTTGATTTTCTGATACTGCCTAGGCCCCAATTGTGACTCATGAATTTAAAACATAAATGCGACTAGAAAAGATTTGAAATGGTTCAGAGTTGTGTGCACACTGTTTCTGAGGACTGGTCGCTTCCAGGGAATCGTCACCTACAGACCGGGCTTGGCTGGGCTGGCAGCAACTGGTGGCAACAGGCGCATTGGAATTTTGTTGAATGCTCTAAAAATCAATTGCATAAACGAATTTAATAGTGAGGTCCAGACAATAGGCTTTGTACACACTTCCTTCTCCTGAAAAGAAGTCCACTGCGTCGAACACCTTGGCTGGGCAATCATCATTGACAAAATCCAGCAGTCTATGGGCCAAAAGTGCGATATAGCCACAGCACTGTTTAAAATACCATTGAAAATTGAAAACACTTTTTCAACATTTAAATTATCTTTTTAGACAACATGCCGCCCAATGCAATAATCTGATAACTCTGAGGAAAGGGCACGTGTGGAGCAGGAAGCCTCAGTCACCTGACATACGTAATCACATAGGTGTAGCCTCAGGGATCAAATTGACAACGAATGTTGGGGAGAATCCAAGTCAAGCAGGTTTGGAATTGACCCGCAGTCACAGAAAAATAATCAATTCTCATGGTTCTTTGAAATATGGTTTCATCCAAGTAGCAATACCAATGGGAATCCTATGTGCTTCAGAATGCTCACTTGCTTCTTCGTGAGGGCCATGGGGCGTTTGGTCCATGGCGCGTCCGGCATTGCAAGTATGCCACTACGTACACCCTAGTACCCACTGGCAATCCGAACCAAATCCTTGTAGACGACAATCAGGTGAATTAATGACAGCATCAAACATGCCTGAGCAAGTTGTTGAGTGTGAGCTTCAAACTCCTGTTCCAATTGCAGAGCGAGCACCATCCAGTTTTTTTCAAGCCACGACGTGATCCCGAAAATTCGGGTACCAACCAACATCTAGCTGACATGTTTTGTACCAGCTAGGCCCCAGAATCAAGTTGATATGGCAACTTGATAAATACCCACGGCAAAACAGAGCATCATATATGTTTTGCATCATAGATCATCGATCTAGACGCAGCACTCTAGTCAACATCTGCAGGGTCATCGGCTTCATTAGGCGAAAGGGGGGAGACTGACATTTCCCACGGTGCTTCTCCGACAGGCTCCCAACGGGCGATCATCTTTGCGATCTTCCACCTTTGCCGCTTGAGCAGTGGTTTGATCTGGATCTTGGCCACTTAATTGGGTCAATACTGATATAATCTGATATCATAATAGTATAATTTAACATATCAGATAATAATATACATGGCCTGGTATACCGGTAATATCCGGTAATTTTTGCAACCTGGTTTTTCTAGTTGGGAATGGGCAATGATGTATATTTGAGAAATATGTTGAGGTCCTGGCGCTTCAGCTGGTCCACCATAGGTGTTCCAGTAGATAGAACATCCCGGTGGTTTCTTCTTGTTGATGTTCAACTGCACAGCTTGGGGCACACCGGAGGAATGAGGAACCAATGGGATCCAGCTGACATGAAACCCAAACGAAAAATAGTAGCAACATGCTAAAATAAAAAACATGCATGGCCTTTCTGTCAACTTAACAACATGTTTTGGGACTTGATGATATATGCTGATGCGATGGTGCACCAGGCCTTTTTTTCTGGGACTCCATGGAATTTCTTTACCTCCTTCACGGTCACCTCCGACGCACTATACACATAGAACCCAGCAGTGGTCAACCTGGGAAGGGCATCAATTTTGCACGTAACAGGTTGAAAAAGAGAGATCCACTGAGATCCCTGTACTAAACGAATCAATAACTGTCATGTCATGAGTAGAGATTTTGCATGCATGGATATACTGGCAACCACAATTTTCTGAGTTTCCGTGCAAGACTCCCACAGCCGATGGATCTTTGGAAACTTCTGTATCGGGAGGCCGCACTGTGAACGACCTTGTGTGGTTGTCGTGGTCAAAGGTTGCCAAGTTGAAATCAAAATTAAAGAAATGAATCTGACTGTATGACAAAGATGACAAAGGTGAGGTGATATCAAGATTCTAGAATTGTGAACCCTGCTGGCATGGAAATCATACAGCGACTTCCAAGGTATGGGCTTTGCAGATAGCGGGAGCTTGGGCAACGAGGCCGCCAAGACCTCGCAGTTCTTAGCCACGTCAGTGAGCTTCTTGTAGTTGGTGACCTGAAAAGAGTTAAGCCAGGTTTGGGCAAAAGGGGTCGCCAATTTCAAGAATTGATTAGATCCGAATTTCATTAGCTTCAGGATGCCTCAGCTATTTAACAACGCCTTTGATTGACCATATCTTGGCTTTATTTTTTAGTCTAGACCAAACCGATGTTGCCTTGCCTCAACAGAATCCTTCGACAGCTGTTCCTTCGACTTTTTCTTAGGTTCTTTCTCTAGGTCTTTGTTCTTGCCCTCTTCTGTCTTTGGCTTACTTTCTTCAGGAACTTCTTTGGATGCAGGCTTGGGGCACTTGACATGAGTGGTAGATCCTGCACTAGACTTGCAAGGGTGTTTGCTCTTCGATTTGCCCTTCCCACGACCCTTCCCAGCTTTCCCATGGCCTTTGCCGCGCCCTTTGCCGCGCCCGCGCCCTTTTCCACGGCCCCGGGCACGTTCATTTCCCGAATCCCGATCTTCTTCACTTTGGTTATCCTTGTGCTCCCTATCTTCATCTTCAGGGACATCCCCAGTGTCACCTGTTTCCATACCTTCGGCCTTTCTTTTTTTTGCTGCTTTTCTCATGGCCCTTTGCGCCTGCAGCCCAAGCTAAAGTTAAAAGAAAAATATAGTCATTTCTGAATTCCATAAAACTATGATATGAACTCTATAGTTCAAGCTAGCTATTGTGCTATATTGCCTGGCCTTCACCAGATCCCCACACATCTCAACATCCTTCCCAAGCTCTTCACACATACGTTCCGCTTCCTCTTCCAAGTGAGCATCCTCGCCCACGAGAGTCGATGTGAGCGGCTTGCGGTCCTGGCAGCGTTGGCCATGACATAGGAACCAACTGAAAAAAAACAAAGGGAGGGGGGAAGGCAAACACACATCAAAAATTCCACAAATTTAAAAGTTAGCTAGCGTATATTTTAAGATTTATTTGATATATCGAATTGACTTCCCCACACGTCCACATGTTTCCCCAGCCTGCATGGCGGTGTTGTTCTCATTGTCGCTCTGCAGATTCTCTTCGTCATCCTTCGGGCTGATGGTATAGCTGGGAAATATGACATGTTTCATGCGGTACCATGCGCAATAAAGTTATATTCAATTCAAGATATATATCGTCGATAGTAGTAGAGATGAGCTGGTTTTGGGAGAATTCAAGTAAACTGCAAAAGCCACCGGTGACGTCACCAGGCCTCTTCATCAGTGGGTCCTGGCTGATCATGCATTTGGATGTCAGCATCACCGAGATCCTCATCCTGCACGACGATGGGAGTCACCAGGGACCTTTAAAGTTTTTTAACTCAACCACTTTCGATCACATGGGACTTTGGGGAAACCAAAAAAATCAACAATCAACCAGAACCATTTACTTACCGCGTCTTTGGGATGATGAATTGAACCAGGGCACTCCATCACTGGACAACATGTCATGCGGCTCCACTTCCAACTCGGTGACAGATGAACTTGCCAAACTCTCCTGTGAAGCATAGGGCTTGAAATCAAACGTGTGGGATTCTTTGGATGAAGGGGTTATTGACGTTATAATACACGGATATGGTGTAGTGACGGGCTATAGGCTATATAGACTGCAACCCTCCTTGGACTTTGAAGCCTTTGGGCCACGTTCAGGAACCTTTGTTTTTCCATCCGGGCGAAGCTTTCCACACTCCTCATGGTGATTGGCGTTAGCTAAGCTGATTATCGTAATTTAGGAGACAGACATATATACTAGAAAGAAAGCGGGATAGAAGTATATAGCAGGCCTAATTTGGATTTATATAGCAGGCATAAAAATGAACGCAGCAGTCCTTCAGATTTTCTCTGACAATATCTTTCAGTTGCTGCATTTTCTGGTGGTTACTCTTCGACCTGCAATGAAGAAGAATTGGAGGCGTGAGTGAAAATCATACTGCATGTCATATGGGCAGAAGCATCGTCATACAGGCTAAACATAAACAGTAACTTGCCTCACCCCTGGATTCCTTTGGAATCTGTGCATCACGTACGCCGCTAAGGCCCGTTGCTGGGTCCCTTCGATGGTGCTCCACGCCTTTTGGCGGCAGACCAATGGTGAGGACAGGTTTCCAAGAATTTCAAATAAAACTTGAACGAACAAAGTAGAGTGCAACAACCTTGCATGAAATAGATAAGAATCAAAATCAGTTACGGCCTAGAATTAAATTAAGTAGCCCCCACCTCATGTTCCCATCGTTCACGAAATGTGGGGTTCAGCTTGAAACGCTGGGATAGGTTTGCAAGCACATCCTGCCGGTGGATGGAACAAAAAGTGGAAATCAAACCTTAGAGGTTAAATTAAACACACAAGAGCCGAGTGGGGAGATCAATCAGAGTGGGAGGTCAATCAGTCTCTTGATGTAAAACTGAAACATTCTGATTGGTCCTCAACTTCAAGTTTCTTAGGCAACGATGATGGGCCAACAAATGTGGCCAGATAGCTGGCCACAAATTCAAAGTTGCGTTCGATCTCCACCTACACATACTGCAGGGTGCCCGGTGGATAATGTAAGAAACGAAACCATTGGATAACTTGCAACAAGAAACACACAAACAGCCATCTCAGTTGTATAAGCTGTATCAGTTGATCATCTTCAATTGAATCTTAGGGAGCCTCCTGTTCGCCAATTTGGCACACGCCGACGTCCACCATCGAAAATTTGCAAACCTGAGAGCTAGAGCGGATTTGGCTAGGTGGATGCATAGTTTATTTCAATGTTTCTTGGCCAAATTAAATATGGTTGATCAAATGCATGCATGCTTAGTCCAAGCAACCCTGGGGTCTTTAGCACACAGGCCATGTCTGTGACGAATCTCCTTCCGGGTGTCCTTGATGTAATTGTGCTCGAGAAGTTTCTCCGTGTAGAACTCCTGTCAAACAAGTGGGCATGGTAGACCCTCTAAATACCAGATATATTGCAGATTAATTCCATGCCACAAGTTCTATTTGGTAGCCTCCCCACTCATGTTGAATATGAACTAGCTATTTTAGTAACCCCCACCTCTAAAAGTGCCATGACCTCTGGGCGGCAACGGCGTTTGACAGCCGGTCTCCCAGGTTTGTTTGCCATTGCGATCAAACCACGGCCACCGTCTGGCGTTGTGAGACCCAAAGAAAAAGTTTCAAAAATTGAAGCCATTGGATAATTTGTGGAATCTGCAAATCAGATGTGCCCCCAAATGATTAGGACTGGATCATCATTAAAATGCAATGGCCAATGGCTGTTTGTTTTTTTCCTGGATGTCCCTAGAAAACAATCACCCAAAATGGCTTCGACTAGCGGCGAGGGTGTGAATGCAATCCAAACTTTGCTGGCAAAAAAGTGAAAGATTCTCCTCGCTCGGCGGTGGGGGCTGGCACCTGAAATGGTACCATCAAGAATGGATTGGGCCACCCAAGCGCTTCGCATAGCTTTGCCATGGAACGGGGCAGCGGGGCACAGGTATTTCTTTTAAAGAAAGATCGTGTGGTTTTAGAAGGACTTGGTATCCCATGCATAGGTGGAATTAGCTGAAAAAAATTGGGGATTGATGTACTGAAAATAACTTAGTTCCATCCAATTTGTTTTTTTTCTAAATATTTCAAGCTGAATTTGCTGGCTGTTTTGATCCCAACACCTTTCACTCGATTGCCCTGAGCCCGGGCTACTCATCCCAAGTTCCAACACAAGCACGCCTGAGAAAGGCCAAGGGACCCCGAAGATATGGCTTTTAAGTGGATTTATGATGATTTATGAGGTTGGCAAAAAACAGACGTTGTTAGGCAATATACAGCCTTTGACCAAAGGACGTATAAAAAACGTTCGAGGAAGTGCTGGGTATTCATATATATATATATATATATGAATATTCATATATGTTATATTCTATATACAGATACGTAATGGGATATCTTTACATATTATCTAAATGATATGGTATAAAGTCCTCTTTTTATGGGTAAATTGGAGGCTTTAGGAAACTCGTGATCTTTGTGCACCCTCGGTTTGCCTGAGGATCCATTGGGATATCCGGTATCAAAAGTTGAACGCACCATGGTTCTTAGCCAGTTGTTCCCATCACGTCCTTGTATCACCATGCTGTTGGTGAAATCGGTCTGACTCCTCGTGCTCTCATGTTTGTTGAAGTCCATTTCAATTTGTTGGCTAAATCTCGTAGATTCTAGTTTGTTGTTGTTAATTGATGTTGTTTGATATTTGTTGCTGAGTAGGTTTCAATTACCATACCTTTTCGACTCCACTAGTCTGTTAGAATTTAGGTGTAAATTTCCCAAAGTTTGTTGCCTTCATCTATCCAGTGGGTCAAAATCCATGGTTTCTCCAAACCTCGGGGCGTGCAGGGAGTGTTGGTGAAAATCCTCGGGACGCTGTCCATCGATCCCCAGTGCACTTTGTGCGAGCGCCACCGAGGCAAGATCGGTTTACAACTCCAATGAACTACCATCTGGTTGTGACTAACATAGCCATGGAAAGATCCACCCATTTTTCATAGGGTAAGCCATCTATTTCTATGGGCCATCTATACCATGGCTATGTTAAATAACCAGAGGGTATATGGTGATTTTATCGGATTGGGATTGAGTTAGCTAAGTTGGTGGTGTTTATAACTCCAACAACTATGGTAGATGGCAATTATGACTATGGTTCATGGAGTTTATAAAGCAACAAACATAACTGGGGGGGGCCACGTATTGTATCAGTTTGGGGGTTGTTCTTGAGGGATGTGTGTGTGTTTTTTCTAATGTCATATCATTATCTTGAAAGAACGATTCCGGAGTAGCTCCACGTGCTTGCCGGTTTGTTCTTTTGCCGCTTGTTCATCAAGTGGAAAAAGAGTCGCGTTAATCTACTAGTCTGAGAAGCGCAACCCCCGTGCAAATGTTTGTTGATCAGGCCATTCGGTCTTAATGGTGGTGAGAACTGCGGTTGCTGCATTGATACTGCATGACTGCTGAATCTATACCCAATGCGGTAAACCAGTAACAGTAAACCATCCCAATTTTTACTTATTATATCTTATTATTGGATATCCCTCCTTTGAAATATTTTATAGGAATCGCCAAAGATGAATCAATATGTTTAGTTATTGAGCCAAAGATAGTGTTTTAAACACTTAATTTGGTCAATAACATGTTATATATAGATAGTAACTATTATATATCATTTATTAATAACATGTTATATAATATTATCAATGTCATAGCGTGTTTATAATACCACTATATCAAAATCCACAGGGAAGTTGCTACCAGGCTATGAAGAACATCTGGGTGCAGAAAAGCATTGGACACTCGGTGCTTTAAACACTGTACAATCGATTCAATCGAGTGAAACACCGCATTTTAATATGGTATATATATATGTATATATGTACGTATCTAATTAAATGTATTAGATATATTATGATTATTTGTGGATATATTTATAAGTGCATTTGATTGTGTATATATATATATATATATTTATATTGTATAATTGTATGTACATAAAGAAACGTGTATACATATCACCAACTTCATATTTCACCGAGCCATTTGAGATGTGTTTGATGTTGAAGGAAGTTATCCATCCGGAGAATGGGCCCAGGAAAGCGTTGTACCCGACGTACACGGGGGAGAACGTCATCATTGAAGATGTGAAAGATAAACTCTGGAACCAGACAAAAATCCCAGGGGGATATGCGACTTGCTCGGCACTGGGGTTTCCTTAGGCTTGGCGACGGGAAGAAGTGGGAATGGAACAGAACTGGATTGAAGTTATGGATGTTTTTTGACTGAAATAGAGTACCATAGGTGTTGACCAATGCCGCCGCCCATGGCTATCGATTTTGAAGTGGCCAAAGCACGTTTGTCCACAATATGTGCCACCTATCAATCCTTCAGAATGTCAAACATGTTGTCTACAGCTTTGGTGACCGGGCTTTGCGTTTCCGAGCACGTCGTGCCTCCGGTCATTGGTGATGACAGATATCGGTGATCCTAAGGCATCCACCATTTCATGGGCTATTTCAGAAGCCAAAGCTTGCCCCCAATCCTGGTTGGGGGCCGTTCAATACATTTTTTGATGGAGCCTATACATACAATATATACAATGTATATAATTTTGCTACCTGTCCTTAAGACTTTATTTATGTTTGTCGTAGGTGAGTCTAAATATATATATATATATATGGTGTAAATATATATATATATATGTATAAATATATATATATAATAAAGTATTTTTGTAAATGTTCATATTTGCTATACTAGCACTTCAAAACCACTTTGTCATCATTGTCTATCATTTCAAGTCAAAAAGGACCAGGTCAGCATTTGGATCCATGCCCTTTTAAAAAGCACATCTTGATGAAGAGAGTAACCTGAAGCCAGTGGAACATGTGGAACTTCATTTGGATTTTCACTTCTTGAAGTTTCAGGATTCAGAATTGTCATAGTTGTATAATGCTATGTATATATATATATATATTTATAATATGTTATATGATATAAGTATGATTATATAAAGCTATTTAAAACAGAACCATATATTTATGTATATATATATACGTTACGTGTGTTTATCATGTTCCAACTTGATCCTCAGTTGCTGCTATGTTGGTGATATCCTCATGTTTTCCATCACCGCAAACGTCAGGTCAGGCTCAACGAGCTCACTGGCGAAATCCAGTTGGCTAAGGGGATTCACGAGCCAATGATGCAGCCTGGACAGCCAGGATCCTTGGAGCAAGTTGAACGTAGAGTTGGCCCTCAACCTTGAATGATTCGGCGTTGATTGTTGTATTTTGCCATAAATGGGGACATTTATGGACATTTATATATTACTAACCAACATTAACCACATGTAGTATACTAACCTAACCAACATTAACTTAACCAACTAAAGCATGATTTTCTTGCAGGGGGTCTAAGATTGGCCATCGAGCGATATATCCGAACGTATTCCACCTGTTCAACCCAAATTTGTTGGCCTAGTTATCTCAACCGACTGGGGGGCCTAACTTAAAGATTGTTTTCAGGAAATTCAAAGGTTGTCTTGCTCACATAATATCGTCCAAACATTACAACTAAGCAATTAATGATAAGCAATGTGACGGTTTTGAGGGGATGCAGTTCAGATTTTCACCGAAGAACGGGATGAATTATAGCACATAAGCTTGGGTGGGGTTTTTGTCTTGCGGAAAAAGTAAATGTTCGCCTCACCAAGACATCAACATCCAATCATCCCAGGAGTGGCTCCACCCGACATGGTTCCTCCAGTGGCTCCAGCTCCAGCCCCAACTCCTGCGTCTGGCCCTTGGGGTGCCTACACACCCACCCAGCCCACCCCTGCACCAATGCCAGAGCCATGTGCCGCTGCGTGGGGCACCCAACCTGCACCCACGGGACCCCATCCGGGCGCCATGGGTCCGGGGCCCATGCCTGGGATCCGCACCTTCCCCGCGGCCTCGACTTGGAGCAGCGACAATTTTTCCACCGCCGGCCATGCCGGGCAGCGCGTGGACTTGGAGTCCAACGACAGCGAAGGCGGAAGATGAACGGATCAATTGATGAACAGCTGGGATGTCCAAAACGTTTGAAGCACCCAAGTGAAGGATAGTGAAGGGGGATGATGGGAACCAATCTTAATCTGGTGAGTGGGCTCAGTTTCTATTTAACTGATATCTCGTGCATGTTTTTCATTCCTGACACTCGGATGATAGTTCTTAGGGACTTTCCATTCTTCAAAGTCCAGCACTTGGGCCGCCTTGAAAGGCGAAAGGTCCGCTTGTGACGCCACATCCCTATACATCCCTCAGAAACCCTCAATTCGCATGAAATCCCAACTCAGACTGGCATGAAATTGCCATTGTGATAGAAGATGATAGAATCATATCTAGGGTCCCATTTTTCAGGATTTCATGTTAGTTTTCAGGACAAGTCATACTTGTCTTGGCCCGCGTCACCGCTCCAGGCTATGCTCGGGTCTCCAACCCTTCTTCCATGTCTATGCCTTCGATGTCCAACCCTTTGATGAAGATCGCGCATCGCAATTTGCAGTCAAAAAGCAAAATTCTGCAGGATCAACTGATTCGTCATCAAGTGAAGCCTGATGAGTCACTTGCTCCACTGGCTGGTTGTCTCTCCTTGTGGTATGATGGTCCCAATTGACTGATATGATTAGGGAGGGTTAAACATGTGCCAGAAAAGACATTCGCCCATGCCCAAATCTTGCACCCAAGCAATGTTATGTATTTGCCACCAGAGGATCACAGAAAACACTTGCTAAACGCAGAGATGTTGACTTTATGTTTATTCCGTGTTTTAGAGCTTGAGGTTTTAGGATGTTTTTTGTTTCTTAGGCTGGTGTTTAGGTTTTAGGGTTTTGAGTTTGTCGTTTCGAATAAGTCAACAAAACACTGGCCCTACGGTGGGGTTTGAGCATGTCACAGGATATGCGGGATACGTCGCAGGCAAACGTTTGGTCTGCAGCAAAATGTTTAAATATGTTTAAACCATATCTGGTTGGTGGTTTGGAACATGTTTTGTTCTTCCATATATTGGGAATAATCATCCCAACTAACTAATATTTTTCAGAGGGATTGAAACCACCAACCAGTATATAATACCACCAGCCAGTGCATACCCATACCCAAACACAGGAGGTTGTTTTTGCTGATGGATTTGGTTTGTTTCACCAACTTGGAATTAGAGGCTCTGAGTTTCAGAATGTCTCACTGTATATTTCAAACATGTTCATTCAAGAAAACATCTTGCAATACTTGCAATACTCCAATATTTCTTCGGACATATTAGTTATAAGAATTACTATCAATATAACATCATATAGCTCAGATATTTTCATATATATATATATTATATATCCCATATTTAATATAATTTACTTGGATATTGTTATCCAATGTTTATTTCCTCCATTTTTCTCCAGGTTCCTTTGCGTGGTGTGCCAGCAACCGCTTCACATCGCGCAGTGTGCCGCGCATTTCGGGTCCATTGACCATCTGCAGCAGCTCATGGCAACTTGGAGGCTGAGTCGATGATTTGGCGCAACTTTTCCCCATGGAAAATCCAGTAGAAACGGAGAATCTATGGAAAATCTATCGAAAATCCACTCGAAACGGGGAATGGATTCAAGGACCTTTTTTCCAAATATGTCGTATTTTTTGGGGGTTCAGCAAATCCAAGGCGAACGTGGAGGCCGAACAAGTGATCCATTCACAGGCTGCTGTGAAGCTGCGCCTCCGGCACATTGATTTAAGCTTGGAGGTCATCGATGAGCCTTGGATGAAGGAAACTTGGTGCTGTCCCCTAACGATAGCTAAGTTGGTGAAAACAACTAGGCTAAGTAACTAGGGTTGAAGTTTGATGGATTAATCAAGCCACTGATGACTACTGATGATTAGGGGGCACTCCAGTACTTTGTATCGGCAAGCATCCAATGTGTTGGACCCCAGAAAGGGAAACTGCTACATTTGATCTGTCAAGCATAAAATGGGAAACATACACATTGGACAAAAAATGCAATCATGGTTCAGTGCCCAATTTTTTCATTGTTGGATAAAGTATTGGAACACAAAAAACAGTGGTTCAATACCAATCTCTACCAATTATGTAGTAACCCCAAAAAAGAAAAACGTGTAATACGTTAGATAACAATTATGGAACTTATTATGGTATTAAAAATATCTATATACATATTATATTACAATGATGGAACTTATTATGGTATTTATAATATCTATACATATTGTATATATATATATATTACAATTATGGAACTTATTATGTTAAATGTTAAATGTCTAGTTCTATCTGTTGTTGCGGGTGATATCTATAGTTCGCTAGTGTTGGTCTCAGAACTCTTGGATGCCATGGTTCGGCTCCAGGGTGAACCCATTTGACCTATCTATTTTGTTTGTTGTAAGATGTTATACGCCCTTTTACAGGTCTCCGAAATAAAGGCCCTTTGTATGCTGTGTAGGCATATACATATATATAACATATACCAGGTTCTTCAAAGTGACCTCCATTAGAGGTCATTTAGCATCGAAATGGATTGAGGTCACTTACCACATCCATGATATCTTCATAAGGCCTAAGTGACCTTTTTATCATTTTGATATCGAAGGGTTAAGTGACCCTTTTTGGTTATGTATGATGATAGCTTTATAGAAACTTGTTATGTATGCCATTATCTATCCTGAATGGGCCAATGGCAACTTGGGATCATATGTTGGTGATATAGAATGATGATGATAGGTGAGGGTTCCGGACAAGCGCCCATGTAGCCCAGCCATGCAGCACCTGCAGGCTCAGGTAATGCACATGTGCAATCAAACAAAGGAATAAAGGCATGATGACCCAATCTGGAGAGATCTTACCACCCCATCACAGGATACACTCAACGAAGGCCTAAGTTCATTATTTATATTTTTTAGGAGGGTCCTACTGGTGTGACCACTACTGCCCTTGCCATGGCTGATGATCCTGCTTTCATTCGAGACCTTTCCACAGATGGGCGGATTCTTGGTTTGCAAATGGGTATGGTGATAGGGAAGTATATAGCACACTGCAGGGCATGGTTTCAAACTACTTATATGTAAGACTATGTATATATCGCCAGCCCATTGGCCACCTGAGGCGTATCTTTAAAGCTATGGAGAGATATATGCCTGATGCTGCGTCAATCCATGAAGAGAAGGAGTTGGTCCCAGGGGGTGATCTGAGGATCAAGGGAAACTGGTGGCTTCGCAGGGCTTGGCGAAAATCCAAAGCCACGCGGGTTCCGAGGGAAATGGAGTTCCGTAAGATCCTCCGTACCCTTATCCAACGGCATTCCCTTTGCAACTTGGTTTATTTTTTTGCTGTTGAACACAACTGGTAATCCTTGATATTATACATGTAGACTCCTATTCTCAGCTCAGGCCCCAAAAGTGAAGTTGACCCTGAGTCCTGGATCCGGGAACAAGACACCTGGCTTTATTTCACTGCAGATGAAATATTTGTTAAAGTTCATTACTTCATTACCTTCTGGTAATTTAACGTAGCTATGGAAAATCACCATTTTTTATGGGAAAATCAACTATTAATGGCCATTTTCAATAGCTACGTTAAATTACCAGAGGGTAGTTCATTGATCCATCTCACCCTATCTCACACTTTCCATGCCCATCATCAAGGCTGCCCGTTGCCACTATGTGGTCAAGAGGCAACAGAAGATGAAATATAGGGGTACTTCTTCATCCAGGTCCAGCTTAACGACAAAAGCACCAACTGTGACACTTGGAACTTCAAACACAATATGGCACACAACTCGTACTATATATCCTACATTGATCCAGAGTTGGGGGAAACCAAGGAATCCAGATCAAATGGATACCCAGCCGTTTTTTGACTTCGAACCTTTGGATGATGCTGCAATGCCACTTGTCATAAATGTGATTGCAGCAATGACTATTTTTAATGAATCAACAAAAAACTGCTGAGGTTGGCTAGTGGTGCTCTCCCTGCCAAGGGGGATGAGGATTCCGATGGGTCCCAATTGTAGGTGCTTAAGCAACCATAACTTTTATTAATTACAATATGGGCCACTTAAGAATCTAACCAATCCTCAGTCAGAGCTGCAGCTCAGCAGGATGGCAAACAAGGGAAGCCGACAAAGGACAAAGATGAGAGAGGTCAGAAGAGATCTGCTCCATCAGAGGTGGGAGAAACTGACGGTGATGAAAGTTGTGATGGAAGTTGTGAGAACAAGGAAAGTAGCGATGAAGAGAAGAGCCAAGATGGCAAAGACCCTCTGCAGGATAATGATGAAGATGAGGAGGAAGATGGAGAACAGAGCGAAGATGAGAAGAAGGACGAAGATGAGGAGAAGAGCCAGGATGGCAAAGACTCTGTGCAGGATGGCGATGAAGATGAGGAGGAAGAAGGAGAACAGAGTGAAGATGAGAAGAAGGACGAAGATGAGGAGAAGAGCCAGGATGGCAAAGACTCTGTGCAGGATGGCGATGAAGATGAGGAGGAAGAAGGAGAACAGAGTGAAGATGAGAAGAAGGACGAAGATGAGGAGAAGAGCCAGGATGGCAAAGACTCTGTGCAGGATGGCGATGAAGATGAGGAGGAAGAAGAACAGAGTGAAGATGAGAAGAAGGACGAAGATGAGGAGAAGAGCCAGGATGGCAAAGACTCGCTGAAGGACGGCGATGAAGATGAGGAGGAGGAAGGAGAACAGAGAGAAGATGAGAAGAAGGACGAAGATGAGGAGAAGAGCCAGGATGGCAAAGACTCTCTGAAGGACAGGGATGAAGATGAGGAGGAAGAAGATGAAGAGCAGAGCAACGATGAGAAGGATGCAGATGAGGAGGGTAGCGAAGCTGATGAAGAAGGAAATAATGATGCAGGGAAAGGGAATGACACAGACATGGATGAAGAAGATGAAGATGAGATGAAGGAGGTAATTGAAATCGAAGATGATGTGCTGCATCCTGACAATCAACTTGGAGACTCCTCCTTGTACCCGTCAGAAGATGACCCTTTCCCGCCTGACGAGATTGAGGACAACTCAGGTGCCAATGATGAGAATGAAACAACTGAGTTGACACGTGATGATGAAGGCAACGCAGAAGAAGGTGATGATGGTGGGTCGACAGGGGTCTCTGATGAGAGCAACAATGATGAAGAAGAGCTGGACAAAACTGAGGGTGCCAGGACAAAGGAAGTAAGGAAGGAAATTATTAGGATTGGACATCGTGCTTGGGAAGTAGAAATTGATTCTTCTGATGACTGCGAAGACAGCAGCACTGACACATCCGACAAGGAAAGTAGCGATGAAGAGAAGAGCCAGGATGGCAAAGACCCTCTGCAGGATAATGATGAAGATGAGGAGGAAGATGGAGAACAGAGCAAAGATGAGAAGAAGGATGCAGATGATGAGAAGAGCCATGATGGCAAAGACTCTCTGAAGGACAGCGATGAAGATGAGGAGGAGGAAGGAGAACAGAGAGAAGATGAGAAGAAGGACGAAGATGAGGAGAAGAGCCAGGATGGCAAAGACTCTTTGAAGGATGGCGATGAAGATGAGGAGGAAGAAGGAGAACAGAGTGAAGATGAGAAGAAGGACGAAGATGAGGAGAAGAGCCAGGATGGCAAAGACTCGCTGAAGGACGGCGATGAAGATGAGGAGGAAGAAGGAGAACAGAGTGAAGATGAGAAGAAGGACGAAGATGAGGAGAAGAGCCAGGATGGCAAAGACTTGCTGAAGGATGGCGATGAAGATGAGGAGGAAGAAGGAGAACAGGGAGATGGTGAGAAGATGGATGTAGATGAGGAGAAGAGCCAAGATGGCAAAGACTCTCTGAAGGACAGGGATGAAGATGAGGAGGAAGAAGATGACGAGCAGAGCAACGATGAGAAGGATGCAGATGAGGAGGGTAGCGAAGCTGATGAAGAAGGAAAGAAGGATGCTGGAAAAGGGAAAGACGAAGACATGGATGATGAAGATGAAGATGAGAAGGTGGGTGATGCTGAAGCTGCAGGCTGTGAACACAGCAAGGAGGGCCAAAGCAGAACCAACAAGGAGCACAAGACTGAGGATCAGGAGCAGGATGTCAAGAAGAACCGAGATACAAAAGGACGGCCAAGTGCTGCAGCCCTTGGCTTCTCAACTGTCGGCATGACAGACAAACAAGTGAGGAATGTGATGAACAAAGGAAACACGGCAGATGAGAAAAAGCCAACAAAAAAGACAACCCGAAAGAAGGCTGATCCAAAGGCAAGAGTGAAGAATGAAAAAAAAACACCAAAAGGTTGTGATGGTGACAGCCTTGATGACATCAGCATCAGTTCCATGGAGTGTGGCATGGACAGTTCATCGTCGACGTCATCATCGAGCTCATCGTCCAGTGATGATGATGAAGATGGTGGCCTTTCTGTGAAGGCTGGAGCTCTGCTTAAAGTTCGGCCTGAATTCCCCAAAACAAACATTAGACGATGGATGACACCAGGATCAAGATATGATACTCCACAGAACCTACCCACTATGGAGGATATCATACAAGACAAGAGACATTTCAAACAGACAAAGATTGGCTGGGTCAAACCATCACTGGCCCAACTGAAGGAGACCAAGGGAAAAGGTGAGGATCCTGGAGCTGCTGGAAAGGAAGGAAAGGATGCAAAGAATGATGAGCTACCAATCCCGAAGCACCGTCGCCGAACAAAGAGTTGGCGATACTTGATCTATGTTATATGGGTCCGGGGATGTTTGGGATGTTGCCAGCTCAAAAAAAAATCCTTCAGTTAGAACATGAACCAACAAAATCGTGATTCTGCCATGTACAGCTAGAATTTATGCT